AAACCCCCCAAGCCAGCCAAAAATAAGAAAAAAAATTAAAAAAAAAAAAAAAAACTAATGAAAGCCAAAATTTCAAAAAAAGTAAGCATTATTCTGGATGGTGGGATGAAGGTTAAAAGGATATACACTAAGATCACTGCTCTAGACATACCTCACATAAGCAACTCTATGAACTTTGCAACAAGTTCATCATGAAAATAATAGAAATGAGATATTTTTTTAAAGCTAAAGTACATGAAGTATTACTAAGTACTGGAGGAATAATGTAAACAGAAACAACTGAAGCCTTAATATTAAAATATCCTAATGTGAACTACTACCCCTTATAATCCTTATAATTTTTTAAACTGAACTGAGGCACTTCTGAGAGTAATATGAAATGAATAAAGGAAACCGCATTTAAAGTGAAGTCAGGAAGCCATGGAGGGGCAGTTCTCACACATGTATCATTCACCGCAGCTTACAGACCCCAGCAGGAAGAAAGATTTCCTCCTGATCCAGCAAGGACAAGCTGCCCGCCATCTGCAGCCAATGAAGAACCCCCACAGCCCTCCCCAATTTCCTTCTTTCCTCTATAAAAGCAAGGCCCTCTCATCCGTTCTCCAGATATGCCTATAGTTCACCATTTTTTGCTTGTCCCAAACTGCACATCTCTGCTATTCGAAAATAAACTTATTTTGCTGGTAAAATAATTGGCTGGTTTTGTTTGTTTAAAATCAGCAGGGAACAGGGACACTATTAAAAGTTACACTGGAAAACAGGTTAAACTTAGACTATCTCAGGCAAACAGACTGCTGGTCACCCCTCTAATTGATTAGGACCAAGCATAATATAAGTACTTATAAATTGATATTCAGTTAAGCAGGGTCCAAGACGATCCTACTTTATACTTTAATTTGCTACACAGTAAATCATAATACACCAAGGTGCCAAATTATTTGATGAAGTTGTACATGCTAAACTGGAGACCAAAACCTAAGAACACAATGAAAAGGAAAAAGAAAAAGGAAACAAACACTGATAGACATCATTAATCTTGATTATGATAAAACTCAAAAAGTATTACTGATATAGAGGATCTTTCAGATTCTTATTATTCTAGTTGGGAAAAGAATCCCTACGCATGAAACAAAACCAAGATGCTATAAGAAAGAATAAGAAATATAACTACCTATAAATTTAAAACTTCTATGAAGGTACAATATATATTAAAAAACAAGCAAAAAAATTTTTCCAACATATGACAGGGCTATTTTACCTAATATACCAAGATCTTACTAAGCAATAAAATAAAGAACAATCCAACAGAAAATTGGGCCAATGACATGAACATAGTACAGGTCAAAATATATAAAATACAACTAGCCAATAAAGATATTAAAGAAAGCCCTATCTCAATAATTTTTCAACGCAAATTAAAACAATGAAACATATTCATCAATTAGACTGGCAGACAGTATAAAGAATAATAATACCTAACGTTGATAAAAGTGTGGGGAAACAGACAAGAAGGTTGACGTTTAAACGAGCAATAATTTTTAATTTAAGATTCTAAATTAATATATCATTTGATCCAGCAACTCCACTTCTAGAAATTTATTATCCAGAAATACATATGCCAAAAATATATATGTAAGAGGATTTTCATTGCATCACTGCTTATAATAATAAGGAATTGAAAACTATCAGGAATCCATCAATAGGAGTTTTAGTAACTAAATTATAGTATATCCATTCAAAAGAATACTATCCGGTAGTTTAAAAGAATTGGTGAATCTTTATATGCTAACATGAAAATCACCTAAAATATATTATTTGGTGATGAAAAGAAACAAAAGAGTAATTTTAAGTATGGTTTTATTTTAGTAAATATTATTACTTATATGATTACAAAGACCTTTAAAAATAGCTGTAAGCATATACACCAAACTATTAACACAATTAGGTTCCAGCACCTAACAGTATCTTATCACATAGTAGGCACTCAATAAATATTTAGGGAATGCATCTTTCACTTTTAAGTTTTATATTTCTGTAATATTTTTATCTTTTAAAATAACTATGCATAACTATAATAAGAATGGGGAAAGGATTTTAATCTTTTAATGAACGCTGTTGCTATATGAAACAAAAACCTATTTTATTATTATAAACCCCTACTAATATGTCATGAAACGTGAATGATAACAATGCCTTGTCTTCCTGACAACCTCCCAAGTTATTGTCCACCACAAAAAGGAAATCAGAACTGTAAGCACGTAGACTAGCAAAGGAGAACCCCAAGGAGAAGGAAAGAAAATGGGCACACTGAAGTAAAACCAGATCCCTGATGAACAATTAAGGCAGAAACAACAGCAAGTCAGGGGCCAAATATTTGGACAAAAATAGGACTTAGCCAAGGAAGATAGGAGACCCAAGCTTTTATTGACTGTCTACATTTTTTATTTATATTCCAGGCACTCTTCTAAGTTTTACAGGCATTAACTCATTTTATCTTCTAAACAACCTAACGAGGTAGTCACTACTAGTGTGCCCATTTTAAAGGTGAGGAAACTGTGGCACAGAGAAGTTAAATACTACTGACCATGAGTCTTATACATTTACTGGCCATCTTGCTAGACAGGAAGAAAGGGGGCTAAAGAAAAGTAAATTTAAATCTCTACTATATTAGATAAGACAGAGTTTCTAGGGCGGACTAAAGAAATAACTAAGAAAAAAATAAGAAAGGAAAAAGACACAAGGTGTGGTGGCAAACACAGTGAGGAGGCTGGCAAGTAAAACGTGACAAAGAAGAAGAGAGAAGGAACAATGGAATCATGCAGATACATAAAACGATAACTGAAGGTTCTGAAAAAACAACTACACTTCATTCTACATAAAGAGAAAAAAAAGAGAGATAGTGAGGACAAATGAAAGAAGGCTGGGATTCCTATCCTTGGCTAAATCCTAATCTATCAAAATTCAGGTCAGGGGCTTCCCTGGTGGTGCAGTGGTTGAGAGTCCGCCTGCCGATGTAGGGGACAAGGGTTTGTGCCCCGGTCCAGGAAGATCCCACATGCCACGGAGCGGCTAGGCCTGTGAGCCATGGCCGCTGTGCCTGCACGTCCAGAGCCTGTGCTCCGCAACAGGAAAGGCCACAAAAGTGAGAGGCCCACGTACCGAAAAAAAAAAAAAAAAAAATTCAGGTCAGGA